GTTTACAGGGCTTATAGGGTTTGGGGTTTAGGGCTTAGAGGTTCGAGCTCAGGGTTCCATATTCAACCAAAATCCAAAGGTGAAGGGGAGGCGCCATACTATACTTGGCACCATGGAAATAAGCTTGGCACATCATTGGCAGTTCGCGGTTACTTAGCCCGCCACCCAAGATTTCAGGGCTACACCCCTACTGTAAGGTCGTACCCCTGAAGCATTTCTCCAGTAGAGCCTTTGTATGAGCTACAGTCAATATTTCCAACATAATTTAATGGACACAGGTTCCTTATCAGAGTCTATACAAGGGACTTTACTAGACTTCACAAGGATTCCTAATCCACTGTTCAGGGCCCCCTTAATAAGGCCAAGATTGACAGTAGCTTACATGAGCCAAGGTCATCCTTCGAGGTTCTTTTAAGAGGCCCTGAACTCTAAACCCCCACCCCGACCAAAAATCATCTAGAGCACCGTGTCAAACGAACCGTAAACTCTGACCCCTAAAAGGGAACCCTAAATCCTAAACCCTTAAAACCTAAAAACGCAAAAAACCTTAAACCCTTAAGCCCTAAACCCTAAAACCCCAAACCCTCAACCTTCAATGCCTTACACCCTACACCCTCAACCCTAAAGCCCTAAAACCCTAAATCCTAAACCCCTAACCCCCCAAACCCTAAAACCAAAAACCCTGAACCTTGAAACCCTAAAACCTAAAACCTCTTAACCCCAAAACCCTAAACCCTAAACCCTGAAACCCTAAAACCTAAAATCCCTAAACCCTGAAACCTTAAAACCCTAAACCCTGAAACCCTGAAACCCTAAAACCTAAAACCCTAAACCCTAAAACCCTAAACCCTGAAACCCTAAAACCTAAAACCCCTAGATCCTAAAACCCTTAAACCCTAAACTCTGAAACCCTAAAACCTGAAACCACTAACCCTTAAAACCCTAAACCCTAAAGACTAAACCCTGAAACCCTGAAACCTAAAACCTCCAAACCCTAAAACCCTAAACCCTGAAACCCTGAAACCTAAAACCCCTAAACCCTAAACCCTAAAGCCTAAACGCGTAGAAGCCAGAAATCCTTCAGATGAAGTACTACCAAGGATCCTGCTCCTCCATTCCAAGCTGGATACCCATGCCTCACAAAGTTTAGGGTTTTGGGGTTTAGGGTTTTAGGGCTTTAGAGTTTACGGTTTTAGGATTTTGGGGCTTGAGGTTTTAGGGTTTAAGGCCCAAGGCTACGAACAGCCCAAAACGCTTTTGTACTATGGCCTTTGGGCCCAAAAGCCTGAAATTAGGAGTCCTTAGAGCCTTAGGGTATGCTTATGTTGAAGGCAAACGTACCTGGGTCCATTGATGCAGCATCAGTCCTTTGACCAGATTTAGCCGATCTAGCTGGCCAAATCACATTCCGGGTTTAGGGTTCAGGGTTCAGGCTTCACGGTTTAGGGCCAGGGTTTAGGGTTCAGGTGTTAGGGTTCAGGTGCTAGGGTTCAGGTTTTAGGTTTAGGGTTCAAGTTTTAAGGTTTCGGGCTTAGGGCTTAGGAAAGTCGGCTTGACCGAACCAGAAGTTGCGGATTGTATCTAGATAAGCAGTGGACCTGGAAACCAAGCGCGTCTGAAAGTAATTATGTTGAAGATCTATAGCTGCCAGCACTTTACCCGAACATCTCGGGTCTGAAAACCGACATATCGAAGGAACTCTTCTGCCCCAAAAGCTCTGCACCGTCCTATAGGTACGTTGACCTCAAAATACTAGAAGATCAGGGACACCCTTGAAGGCTCATGCACCCGAACACATGGGACCTTATGTATCCTAGGATCTTAATCTGTGGTCTGGGGCGCCATGGCCCTAAGTCGGATACCGCCCCCACCCCATACCAATAGACTACAAGCATGAAATTACAGTTGATGGACAAAATCCTGCATGCCCCTGAGTATACTATAGCAACAATAGCACAGTAGCTTCTATGGTTTGATGAAACATTCTCACGCCATCAATCGTATCAGTAGCCAAGGCCTAGGGTTGAGGGGTGTCCAAGTTGCCAACGACATGTGTAGGGTGTAGGGTTTCCCCAACATGAAGGCTCATGCAAAAGGTGTCAACAGGGTTTAAAATTTTGAGGGTCGGGGTTAACAGTAAACATGCTTGTTCAAAATCTCCAGCTAGTTGAAAGTTGGAACTTCCAAAGGTTACCTTGGAAGACGTCAAGCAAGTCCCCCAACGTATGCTGCCAGCATCCCCCTTGTAGGGCGCGGGAAAACAGGGCAAAAAACCCCTTCTACGAATCGTAAAAAACCTCAGCTGTACACGCGCAAGCACGAGGGAAGGCTGTGGAAGACGCGATCGCTTCGCGACGGGCGCGTCGAGGGCAGGCAGAGCACAGGAGGGGACTAATCCTAAGACCAAACCCCAAACCCAAAAAAGGCAGGCAGGGACCTAGAAACACTATGGCAGGCTTGACTCACCCAAGCGGAGGCGGTAAGCCGTCAGGAGTCGAGGAAACCGTGCGCCGACTCCGTGACTAACCCCGCCCGGCGCAGCACGGCGCGTGCGTTTTCACGCTGCAGCGTGATCGCAAGGGCTTGGAAGAGGCGCTCGCCCTCAACAGCAGCACCATCCCCGCTCTTAGCCCCAGGGGCCTGCGCGAGCTCGCCCCAGGCTTTCATGGCTGCGGGGCCCCAGCCCCCGCCAATGCCCTCAACAACCAGGGGCACGAACTGGAGGCCAGCAGCCTGGCACTGCGCGGCTGTGTGCTGATGAGCCCGTTTCCGTGCCTCATAGTCAGCAGCGGCTCGGCCCCCATCGATGATAGTTGCAGCTGCTGCGCCCTGCCGCAGGCCGCGCCCGGTCCAATGCCTGGGACAGCGGCTGCTGTTTCAGGTTAACCTCACTGTTGAAAGCAGTCAACGGGGCGTCAATGGCAATGCTGTAGGCGGGGTCGAGGAGCCTGCAAAGCTCGGCGGTTGCAGTGGTAGAGGCAATGTAGGCTGCAACCTCGGGGTTGTCGGAGGCCCAAGCCCCCATTGCTGGTGGATAGGCATGCTTGCGTCCAGGCCCCAGCCGTCAGGGGGCCCGTACACATGGACTCCAAGCACGCGCGCGTCTCAGAGTCAAGGGCCTCAAGGGCCTGGACGTGCAGTGCTGGGGGAGTCACCCTGCTACTGCTACTGTACAGGACACGGCCGAAGAAGGCACACTCCCGCAACAAGAGTAGGGCTGTTTGCGGGTCGGGCAGGGCAGCGATGGCCTGCAGCAGCGGCTTGTTGGCCGTGACTCGCTTGGACAAAGTGTGAGCCTCACAGTAGCTCGCGTTACCGACAGCAGCGCCAAGGAGTGTGAAGGCACCCGTGCGGTTTACTACCACTCCTTCCAGGAAAGAGACGGGGGTCACACAGGCCGTCCTCGCTGCACAAAGTAAGCTCGCACTTGGAGGGGTTCAGGGCCAGGCCAACTTGCCGGGCAGCAGCTGCAAGGCGGGCGAGGGCAGCACTGACCTGAGGGATGCTCCCCGCGAGGCACACGTCGTCGAGGAAGGCGAAGCCAAGGTCCGGTTGCTGGGATTCCGGCACAATGCGGGCAGCCCGCAGCGCAGGTTGAAGGGCAAGTGAAAAGAGCAAGGGCCCCAAAGGGGCACCCTGTTGCACCCCAGCTTCAGAGCTAAGCGGGTGGCCTTGAAACAGCAGCCTCGAGTGTTGCCCATAACACCACTCGGCATACGGGGCGAGCCCAGGCAGGTGCAGGCGCACCTCGCGCAGAAGCGCCGCACGGTCAACACTATTGAAAGCATTTGCAAAGTCCACAGTCAGGAAACACTTGTTGGGGTGGCTGGAGTGACGGTGAGCCCAGTGCCGGGCCACGTGGACGACCGCCTCGATGCCGTGAGGCACCGCCACCCCAAGCTGCAGCGGGGCGAGGTACTCACGAGCTGCACCCCTGATGGCAGCACAAAAGCATTTGGAGGCCAGGCGGCGCAAGCACTCGCCAACAGCGATGGGCCGGACATCACACCCCGATTTGGGCAGGGCATGCAGGGAAGCCCCGGCAAGGTGAGGGGCAAGCTCAAGGGGCGCCTGCCCTCGCACAAACAACTGCACAGCTAAGGCAAGGTTGGCAGCGACCTCGTCGACGTGCGCCGACTGCAAGGCCTCTAAGGTGATCGCCCCGAAGGCCGGTGGGCCCAGGAGCGCTGCCACGTCGGAAGCTGCGGACAGCAGCAACCACGTTCTCAGCTGAGATGTCCGGCACTAACGCGGGAGACGGCGGGCCCAGCTGCACGAGGCTAGGACCGTGCATTGAGGTTTTCGGTGAGGGCACGGCGCTCGAACCGGTTGATGGCGGGAAAGACCTGGCGACTGGCAGGATAGCAGAATCGGCCGCGGCGGCAGTCAGTCCCTTCCAGAAGCAGCTCACGCGGATCGCGATGCCCCAGCAGTAGGTGCAGCAGCAGCAGCGACCACCATCCCACCCCCGGCGAGGGAGCCATGGCTCAAGGCGAGGAATATGGTTTAGCCGGAGAACGCAGCTAATAGTCCCCTAAACATGCTTCTGAGTCGAACCCCCCGGGCCTCTAAACCCTAAACCCTAAACCCCAGGCCCTGGAGTGGTAACTCCATGTTTTCGATTGAAGGCCTAAAGCCTAAAACCCAGACCCAGCACCCGGACATCCATCCAAATCTCTTTCAAACAAATGTCCCTGCACCCTAAACCCTTAGGGCTTAGGGCTTCGGGCCCTTGCCCTGAAATTTGAAATCCGAAAGCCTACAACCTAAACCCAAAGGTCATACACTAAACCCTAAACCCTAAAACAAAATCGGAGCCTTGCCTTCGAGTTTCAGAATCAGCCGGTCAAAGGGCCTCACTCGCAGGTGTAGGGTTTAGGGCTTAGGCTTGAGGGTTTAGGGCTTAGGGTTTGTTTTTCAGATTTAGGGTTTAGGCTTTAGAAGGTTCATGAGCAATTAAGACTGGGTCTCCGGGTAGGACGACTAGATCGATAAAATATATCCCTATTTGGATACTTAAAACACTTCTTATAAGTAACCATTAACCTCCAAGTAGGGGAGAGGGCTTGGTAATTTACCAAAATAGGGGGACCCCAATATAGACCCCAAAATACTATAATCCTTATTATTGGGACCCCCAAAATGGTACCCCTAATTTTGGGAAACCCCCACTTGGCCTCAGAGGGTTAGGGTTTGGAGGACTTGGGCTTCATGGATGAAGATTTAGCGTTCAGGTTTAGGGTTTAGGGTTTAGGGTTTAGGGTTCAGGGCTGTGGCACTAGGGTTTACAGGATTAGGATAGTTTAGGGTGTAGCGGGGTAAGAAGGCCAATCCGCGGTTCAGGCATCCTAAACCCTAAACCGTTAACTCTGTTGGGGATTTGGGGCGATGGTCTGGCCCGAAAAATGGGGTCAGGGCTGAGGATTTAGGGCTTATGTCATGTCGGATTGAAGATTTAGAGTTTAGGACCTAGGTCTTAGGGTTTGCGAGTTCCGGCATAGGATTTGGGGCATGTATTGGCTTTGATGTGCTGGGTTGGAGCCTCTTAATGCTTCGGGGAGGCTTAGGGTTGAGGTCTTAGGGCCTCGAGCTTGGGGTTCAGGATCTGTTAGCCTTGGGGTTCCTAAACCCTAAACCCTAAACCCTAAACCCTTGAAACCCCAAACTCTAAAGAGCCTAGTACTCTGCCCTTCGGCTGAAAGTTTCTCAGGATCATATGAGCTATAGTCTACACTCCTAGTATCCGCATGCATAACCCCTAGAATAATCCACAATATAATCCCCTATATAACACCCCGTTGAGGAGTTTAGATTATGGCTCATACCCCCTACTTTCTAGATCGCGAACCCCGAAGCCTAAACAGGTCCGCCGCGGAACAAAGAAGCCCATCGCTGGAAGCGAATCCAGGAAAGCACATAGGCCACGCGTGCTCGGCGGTCCGTGTAGCCGCTTGGAGGGCCTACAAGCTCCTTGGTAGGGTGTAGGGTTTAGGGCTTTGGGTGTGGGAGCTCAGTTTCGTTGTTTGGGGTCTCATGCTTTTGGTTTAGGTGTGGCCTAGTCGTCCCAAGCATCTTTAAGCATGGATCGTAAGACCTGGAAATACTACCCAGTGCAGCCTGAGACCCTTCTGCATAAGAGGACTTTGGCAAGACGTGGAACAGACCCCTAAAACCTCAACCCTACTCATGCCTAATACCCTGAGAAAGGACAGAGCGTCCAACCCTTAACCTTCAACACGATTCTCCAAACCGTCAAACAGTCGGTTGATGTTCGCGGGGCCCCTTCGAATATCACTGCAATGTGGGCAGAATGTCAGGAGGTGGTGATGGCAGTGGGAAGAGGAATCATCTACGCAGAAGCCGGAAAGGTATATGGGTTGTTCGCAAAATTATGGGCTCTTTTGGGTAGAGATTAAATTTCAGGACCTCCTATTTCGGGGTACCATAACAAAACCCTAATTTTGGGAACTTGGGAACTACCCTTATGGACTCCCTAACCACCATCCTCTATACTAAACTACCGACTCGCGGCTCCCCCGTAATTAGCCTTAATCAAACGTAGAGAAGCCTGATTTAGGTGGAAACCAAAAGCAGGAAAAATCCTTCGCAACCTTACTATACTATAACATCAGAATATCTACAGTGTAAGGTACTTGTGATCACATAGGATCTCTAGTGTCCCCCCCAATTGTCAAGGGGTGGTTTACAGCAACCCATCTAACTGTTTAAATCTAGGCCTAGCCCTAAAACTAATCCTAACAAGTCTTGATACCTTCCTGGAGGGTCGGGGAGCGTTCATGCGCTCATACGAATCTCAAAACCCCGCACCCCTAATGTCTAAGGTTACTATGAGGGGATTAGTAAGTATACGCATATCGCCTGTAAGCCCCATTGTAGCCCTAGTGCTCCCCAGTATTAACCTACTGACGAAGTCCCGCTGACTCTCCAAGTAACAGCCCAAAACTGTAAAAGCTACAGCCACATCCTCCGCACCCTAAACCCTAAAGCGCTCAACCCTAAACCTTGAACCCTAGACTGCGCGGCAGTAAGGACTGGAGAATGCTGAATGAAGAGCCAAGCCTCAATTGGCAAACGCCTTGGAGGCTGATCTATAGGGTCTCAGGGCACAGGGTTGGATCATCACTTGCAGTAAACCCTAAACTCTGAACCCAGAAGCCGAAAGCCCCTAAAACCTAAGTCCCTAAAGCTCGAACAGGTCTAGGGCTGAGGGTTTAGGATTTAGGGTCTGTAGTAATCCCTAAGCCACTAGCCCCTAGAGCGGGTCCAGGGCTCAGGGTAAAGGATTTAAGGGTTTCGCGGGTTCATGGCCGTGCAGTGTCCCAGCAATTCTGGATAGCCCCCCGTTAGCTGTTTGAGATTTAGGGTTCACGGTTCGGCGACAGCTTCTGGATTTCGGCCTCAACTTCAAATCGCTACAACCCTAAGCCCTAAAGCGCTGTAAAGCCTGAAACCATACAGTGTAAACCCAAAGCCCTAAATCCTAAACCCTAAAACCCTAAAGACTTCAAACCCTAAAACTCTAAACCCTCATGATTTGAACAGCAGATCCCAAGCAGAGAGGTCCCAAACCCTAAACACTCTACGCACTCTCAAAAGATGTTTAGGGTTTAGGGGTTTAGGGCTCAGGGTTAGAAGAGCCCTATTGAAAATCGATGGGTACCCCAACAGCATATCCCTTAGCATACTCAGTTTTGGGCTAACCATCTCCAAGTCAATCGGCAACCAAAAGGACCCACCGACACAGCCCTGATGCCCACCAACCCTACAGGCTTCCTGCTGAGAAGTGGCTGCCAGAAGGTAGGGTTAACAGTTGGGGGGTTTAAGGTTTAGGGGCTTAGGGTTTAGGGTTGGAAGGTTTAGATTAGGGTTTAGGGTTTGGGGGTCTAGGGTTTAGGGTTTGGGTTTAGCGTTCCAAGAATGAAGAACCATATATGGAAAAGAAATGGAAGATGAAATGGAAGCTGAAGTTATGGAGGGTCTCTAGGGATTGCTACCGTGGGATGTAAACTTTAGAGTGTGAGGTTTACAGTGTCGAGTTTCGGCAACGCTTTTTGCAGACCCGTTGTCCAACCACTGAGGTCAGAATCAATGTCTCCCTAAACCCTAAACCTTTAACCCTGAAGCTTAAGTTGTAAGGTATAAGGAGGGAGCTCCTCAAGACCACGAATCGCCTTCTGCCTTCCTAGCACAAAGATCCTGACAGTAGCGGGCGTACAACAGCTCTAAACCCTAAACCCTACTTTCTAAACCTTGAACCCTAATCCCTATACCAAAAACCCAATGCCAGCATTTACAAGAAGCAACTTCGCTTATATACCCAAATGCTATGAGCCCGAGGATAAGCGCTCCCAGAAAAAATGCCTTCCAAAAAACCCGTAACCTATGTGTTTTTTACATGTATCTAACCATCCCAGGACCCTAAAGGGTGTAGAATATCCTTGAAAGGATTTGTTTTTCGGGAAACGTCTATCACTTCATGGGTTCCCCTACCACCCCCGCCCCGCTCCCTCAAGGTCTCCCCTCAATTAGCAAAAACTACCTCAAACCCTAAATAACCTCAAAAATGGCGCTACGCCCTAAACCCGAAACACTAAACCCTAAATCCCTTACTCTACACCCTAATTCCCGTAACCCTAAACCCTGAATCCCCAAGCCCTACATGCCCCTAAACCACCTAGAACCCCAATATGTAAAAAAAATATATATATATATATTGCTGCCGATGCGTTTCTGGCTGTTTTTAGAGGAGTAATCATACAGAAATATTGATAGATGTTCAGCGCGTGACATTTTAATGTGCTATACATATGCACAGGGTAGCGTGATTAGCTTATGTAATGCATGGGTGATACAATCACCATCCGGAATCCTGCATCAATGCCATCCTGCCATAGCAAGCGTCACACATGCACATGTTCAGATAGTTGGCAAATTACATCCTCAGATACATACCTTATACGCATCATGGTACTTATCAATCACAAGCCCATGTGGCTTGGGCAGTTATACGCTGCACGTCAAGCAGATCTGTTTCTGTGCACAAATTTCCATCTGGCGAGATGTGAAAACACAGATAGCATCCGTGATAGCTGTAGCCACTTTCCTTTTCTCAGAGCGGCAAAGCTCAAAATGTGGTAGTGGGGGGCCCTACGCCGACCCCCCAAATCAACAAGCTTTTGACAGCAGTTGCATGATCTCACGCAACCCGCAACAGTTTCATAACGTCATGAAAACGAATCACCTGCGTTTGGCCCTTGTCCAATGAGTGTGACCCAAGCGGTTTCAGCATGGATCTCGCCTGATGTTCATCGATCAGGAGAGACCACTTCTGACGATCCGCGTGTGCCGGCAGTCTGCCAGATATCCGTTTTTGGATCCATCGTTTAATTACCGACCACTTACAGTCGATAGCATTGGCACTAAAGCCATTCTGGTTCACTAGTTCACCACCAGAATGTTGACGATTTCATGATGCAGATTGCTTTCAGTGAGCTTGTTATCCTTCCTAAAGGATTTCATAGCGGAAACGGTGGCCCACCACTTATCACTAACGAAATATCTCCTTTACGGAGACCCAGCAACTTAAGATGTTCAATCAATTCTCTGTGCCCGCGAAGCTTTCCATCGAATGCATCGGCGTGATGACGTAGAACACGCAAAAGAAAATGAGTCTTCAAGTGACCGTGTAGTACAGCACCCCAAAGCCAGATTTGATCCCGTTGTGGAAGGCCGAACTTGGCTAGCACATTTGGCTTTCGTTTATTCAAGTGAGTCTCGTCTGCGACGAAGATACGTCAAGCGTCGGAATTCTTCAGATGCACCTTTTGGACACCTGCTGATTTAAGTTTTTTGAATAACTGTAGAACCGGGACGTTTTAGTGTCGATGTATGACTTGGAAGCTGGCTTACGCAGAACTTGGGGAGTGTCTTGCAGCATCTTCTGGAAAATGTCACCATCAAAGCCACGGCGTATTTGAAGTTGATACCATATGCTGATGGTTTCCTGGAAGGAAGCAACCATGCATCCAGTCTATCGCGGGTGATGGGGTGTAATTAGTTCCCGTAGTAGTTGCTCACGGGAAAAATCGAAAACCCACATAGCCAAGCAGCCCAGCTTATTCATCCACATGTGCTGCTTCACCTGGTTTAGGAAACCAATGGATGTGGCCGAATTCTCCCTGCCCAAACACTCAATGCAGCCGGAGTTGGATGACGTCGGTCCGCTCGGCCTGATCTATCTCGTACTTGGACTGCATGAAGAGGACGGTCTTGGAGCCGACAGACTTTCCGGCGCGGGTACGGCCAGTCCATGTTATGGAAGGTTGCCGCATTGTAGGAAGCATCTTGGCTAGTACCCGATCCAAGAACCAAGGAACAAACGTCTTCAAAGTGAATGGCCAGAATTCCAGGGTCTTGGCATTCTGACGACCCTTCACGTAGTTATGGAGTGCTTCCTTGACTTCGGCTTCTGGCCAGTTTTCGAGTTTGCCACCACGGGTGTGGATCTGCTCATCTGTCCACTCCATGAATTGGCTGCGGCTATTAGCGGGGACCGAAATTGCGAATGAACTCATAGCCTGCCATGCGCTGAGTTTTATCTAGTGTGAGCTTCTTACTTCTCGTACTTAGGCTTGATGATCCAATGGCGCAGCTGTTGACCACCCATGCGGTCCATCATAAAGTTGATGGCCGCGAGCCCATGTCGGCGAGCCCATGTCGGCGAGCCCATGTCGGCGAGCCCATGTCGAACACTGCTGCCTCACTCGAAGCGCATAGGCGTGCCCTTGCACATAGCTACAGAGTCTTTTGCTGAGACCTTGTTGCAATGAAGGTACACGTGCTTGACAATGTGGTAGTAGTGACGACTTGGGTCGGCGTCCTGAGGCACAGGGGCTGGAAGGATCACAAACTGGATCGTGTAGGGAGCGTTCGGCAACTTGGCGAAAGCGCATGGATGAGGAAGTTGCCCATTTTTGCCATCATAGCAAAGCTGGTAAATCTGATCGAACATTCCAGGGGTCATGTCGAGCCCTTGCTCCATCATGATGTCTGTAAATTGCTCAATTCTAGCGGACGTTGCATCCAAGTGACGACTGGGCAAATCTAAAATCTGAACGTCGCCAACAGGGCGGTCGGATTTGATGGGCTTGGCCTCTGGCCCTTAAAGCTTTTGGCCCGATACGTGAGCACATGCTTCTTCGAAATTGAGGTTCCCATCCTGGAATTCCTGATCAGCGGCGTAACTGGCCATGATGCGAAAAGTCTATCTGAGGCAAGTAATGAATATGGACAAGTTTCTGCTAGCTCTGAGAAAGGGCTTCAGTGTATATATGGGTGGCACAGTGTTTGCCACAACATGGTGCACGTGAATATGTTCTCAGAGTATGTGCATCTCACAACAGGCATGCAGGGATTGCGTAACTTTTTTTCTTGTAGCGTTCGGTGATACGCGTACTATCACAAGCCAAGATAGAGCCTATCAGCTTCACTTCGTAGCTCTTCTCCCTGGGAGGTAACCTTGAAAACGAAATCTCCCAATTCCGGCACTCGAGAGCCTTGGCTATTTGCGAAATGTTGAGTGTATATGGTTGTGAGGAGCAATACAACGTTATCAGGATAAAATGCCATCTGGAAATATGCCAACGAAAACTTCTGTTTGCGTGGGTGCCGTTGGCATAAGGCCTTGCGGGGCAACGTCCTCGCCTTAGATTTTCATGAACCATATTATGTATAGCATCAAGGGCATCACTTACATAAATAAAATCTGACAAGCTACTCCGTGAAAAGCTCCAGATTTCTGCCAGCATTTCATCTGGAAGCCGTGTAACCTTTTCGAACATGGCTTGCCGCATAGCAAGCTAGAGGTCGAGTATGGGTTGGATACAATTTCTTGATGTGCTAGAATAGCTAAGGAATTCAATGAAATGATTAGCGAACACGTAATCAAGCCAACAAACCAA